GCGCACCTCGTTTGGGTTTTCGTTCGGGTTCTTGATGTTGTTGGTGTTTTAACTTTATGAATTGGGGGTTCATACAAATTTAATAAATAAATAATAAATGAATAAATAAAATGAATTGAGGTCTGGGCTGTGCAGATAGTCTTTTCTGAGATCCTGGGTTGGCCGAGACCAAGCCTTCCTGAGAGTTCATGCTTTCCTTTAGTTCATTCATTCATTCTTTTCTTTTGAGCTTTTTTCCCACCCTCTTCTAGGTGTCCGATCTGGCGATGGCCAGTAAAGATTACATGTTTACAGAGGATGGGGGGGGGGCTATCTGGGCCCCCTTATGGCATCCCAACAGGAAGGTCTGGTGGGTGGGTAAATCTAGTCAAAGACAGCCTGGCTGGCTCTCGCTCCGCCCTGCAGGTTGAAGACTGATCCTAGCTAAAAGGGTTCAAGAAGGTTGCCAAGCGCCTTCTCTGTCCACTTCCAAGGAAGGAAGCATTGGGCAGATTGTCTCCATCCCTTGAGCCAAACTGGGACCGTTCCCCTTGGGGGACCCCCAAGAGGAGTACTTGCTTGGTCCTGAAGAGCAAGCCTGAAGGGATCAGATCTCAGTTAGCTGGGACACCTCTTCTCAACCAGAAACCCTGGAAGAAAAGCTAGCACTGGGCCAAAGGAAGGGAGGTTGATTCTGTGCATAGAGCAGATTGGCAGCAGCCCAAGAATGCGCTGAGTGTTGTCCTGGGCATTTTCAGATCAGCTCAAAACAAAGACAGAGGAAGAGCCAGCATATCAAGGACTGTGTTTGGTAGGATGCTGATACTTTTGGGGAGGAAAAGAGGCAGCAGTGTCCCATTTGATTGCACCCCCCCACACAAACTTTCACTCTGGAGGGTTTTTCTAAAAAGATCCAAGATCAGTAGGATCAGTTTGGGAGCTGAAAGGATCTTATTTCATCAAGTTTCTACCTGTCTGCAGGGGGAAAAGAGCTCATCCAAGTCAATCAGGTCAAGAGAACTCTTCCTGGTCTTAAAAAAGAACATTGCTCTTTGCAGATCCAGGAGATTCCTTGAGCAGCACTTCAGCACCATGAAAAAGTGGACTCGCAGTATATCGGAGAGGAAAGAAAGGCCCCCCTATCATCCTGGCTGGACATTGTGGGAAATTCTGGCCAAGCATCAGGACAAGCAATCTGGAGGAAGGAACCACAAGTTCTGGTGTACAATATCACTTCAGAGAGTGTGTTACCAGGAGGGACCCTGGGATCTTAGCAGCCACCTCCACCATCTTTGATATCAGCGGCTGAACCCAGAAAAGAACACAAAAGTTCAGGTGCTGGACCTGGTGCTCCTGCCCCAGAGATGGAGAGCTGGATATGAAAATGTGGAGCAGAGAGAAGTTCCCAGGCAGTGGCCCTAGCAGAAGACTTCTTCCTGAGCCAGGAAGAGGACAAGGAGCTGAAGGTGAGAGAATTTCGAACAGGTGAAAATAGTTTATCAATTTTTCTGTTTTTTAAATGCCTCCCTACTAGTCTTTTCTAGGACTAAGAATAAAAATCTCTCTTCCCCTTTAGGTAATCATTCCATTGCTTTGCCCAGATAATTTACCTTCTTCCAGCTTGCTTGCAGACATCTGGAGCAGGCAAAATTGGGGCATATAGTGAGAATTCAGTCCTTATTGGGTGCTGCCCTTGAACTCCCCTTTTTCTTTGCTTCTAGGTGAAGAGGCCTGTTATTGAGGCAATCACTCCAAGGCAAGAGGGAATCTGTCCAATCCCTCCCAAAAGCCACCCTGGAGGATCCAACTCAGGACACGTCACCAGGTAAGGAAGGGCTCCTGAATGCAGTGAGGTCCCAGGAGTTTCCAGCTACTTTCATTCATGATCTTCTGTTACAATCAAACTCTGGCCCTTTGTACGAGATTAGTCCTTTTGTATAATTTTACTTCACCGTTTTGGAAGGATGCTTCTAAATAAGTATGCTTTGTCCACTGTTATTTATTTATTTAGCGTATTTATATAGTCACCCATTTCACGAGACAGTGACACTGGGCGGCATACAACACAGTTAAAAACTCCATAGCAATCTAAAAACAGTCAAACATAAAATAAACATATAAATTAACTTATAAAATAAATGTATAAAACCCAAGAATGCGGGAGAACAAACCTCACTTGACCCCACACAGCCCCCTTGCAGGCTGTCCCTGGGATCTCCAAGGCTGATGAAAAAAACATGTTTTAAGGTATTTCCGGAAGGCTAACAGAGATGGGGCTAACCTCACCTTGGGGGGAATGGTGTTCCAGAGGGCAGGGGCCACAGCAGAAAAGGCATGCCACCTAGGTCCCATCAGATGGAGCTCCTTTGGAGACGGGACCCATAGCATACCCCTTCTGCCTGACCTGGTGGGATGGGTAGATCTAATCAGAAAGAGGCAGTCCCTCAGATAACCTAGTCCCATGCCATATAAGGCTTTAAAAGTCAAAACTAGCGCTTTGAATTGCACCTGGAAGCAAACTGGCAATGAATGGAGCTCATGGAACAGAGGTGTACCCTCCTAGGGGTACACATAACTGTCCACACAGCCATATTCTGCACTAGCTGAAGCTTCTGGATGCTCTTCAAGGGCAGCCCCATTGTTACATTAATCCGTGACCAGGGCATGAGTGACTGTGAGTAGATCCTCACAGCCCAGGAAGGGGAACAGCAGGCACACAACATGAAGCTGTGCAAAGGCCCTCCTAGCCACGACTGCTTCCTGCTCCTCAAGCTGGTGTCATGAGTCTAGATGGACCCCCAGATTGCACACTTGGTCTGTTTGGGCAGTGCCACCCCATCCAGTACCAAAGATGGTAAAGTCACAGAATTAGAAAGCCCAAAAACCCAGAGCCACTCAGTCTTGCCAGGGTTCAGCTGAAGCCTGTTGTTCCCTATCCAAACCCCTACAGTCTTCAGGCACCAGGACACCTTTGTCTTGCTCAGAGAGATGAAAGCAAAGTTGTTGGTGCTAAAAGAAATGTCTCCTCTTGTGTTGGAGCGGAAACAGTGGCTGTGACGCCAGCTCAGTTAGGAGGAAGATTTTTCAGGCATGAGTAGCTTCTGCTCCATGAAACTGAAAAAAAGGATAATTTCTTATAGTTTACTTTTTTCTCTTTAATCTAGTCTTCCTCACCTCTTTCTCATTTTCTTAGTCAAATGGAGTAGAACCCACTTAGGAATAAGAACAAGCCTGTGTCCATTATGAAGTACAGGAATGGCCTAACAAGGATGTCATAAATTGTCTGTGACAGAGTCAGAATGAAAACAACCTCAATCTCATTAAAGTCTAAGCAGAGGGGAAAAAAATGTGTGCGTGTGTGTGTAAGAGAGAGAGAGAGAGAGACAGTAAAAGAAGACACACAGTTTAGGTAGACTGATATCTCATTCTTGTATTTTAATGGGATTTTCTTTATTTGTATTCAGGAGATGATGAGAATTATACATAGCCAGATCTGATGTCATCACAAAGAACTGCACGTGACCTGGAAGAACAGTAATATCAAAATCAATTAGGACCTAAAGGCCTGAGGAAAAGCAGTCAAACAGCAAAGAGGAGAAGCCATAGTAATACTTGATGTGTGGAAAGTGTTTCAGGAAGGGTAGTCCCCTTAGTTCCATCAAAGGATCCTCTCAGGGGGAAAACCAATCAAGGATCAGGTTATCTGAGGAGCCGTCTCACCCGTTATATCAGGCCGCCCCACTCGGTCCAGCAGAAGGGGCATGTTGCAGACCCCACCAGTCAAGGAATTTCGACTGGTGGGATCTAGGAAGAGGGTCTTTTCTGCAGTGGCCCTTGCTCTCTGGAACAACCTACCTCCTGAGGTGCGGTGTGCCCCCACTCTCATGGCCTTCAGGAAGAGCCTGAAATCCTGGCTATGCCAGATGGCCTGGGGGCCGGATGGGGGCTCACATTGGTGGAAGTAGCTT